TTTTCTCCCTCTTGATCAGGATTCTTTTATAGAATCCTTGATCAAAATGTTCCCTATTGGTGTCAAGGAATCTTCTAGTTCTCCTGGTCTCATCATGGCAAAGGATGCAGTTACTCACGGAGGTGACAGAACACATAAAAATAAACACTTTTAATCTGGAGACTTTTTCGTGAAATGTCTTCAATTTTCAATCTTTGAAGTAATCTAACTATAGCACCTATGATTATGTATCATCAGGTATCCACTCACACTATGTGGACCTGGGGCCTCAGGGGCACAGAAGGGAGGCAGCTGGGCCAGGTTCAGGAGTGTGCTTAGTGTTAGGCAATGAACCTAGAGACAACTCTTAATCTATCTACTAAGAGCTTGCATCACAGCTCAGGTGTCGTATCGTATGTACATTTACAGAAATCAAGGTCCTGGGAAAAACACAGGAGATAAACACAGGAGATAAAAAGGGACATTAATTGAGGGAAGGGAAGTTTGGAGGTGGAGAGAATTCAACAACCACAGTTCTGTGACACCCAACTTTGTTCACTCTTTGTTTCCACTTCATTACTCGCAATCGGTCTACTTCAAGTATCTGAGGAGTCATCTGGTTTGATTGGCAGTTTCATGATTCCTCTAGACAGGCAACCAGAACTTCAGAAACTTGCTGTGCCTCCTTGCAGCAGCCCCATGCAACCCCTCTATTAACCTCCCTGATGCTCCCTCAGAAATAGCTCCAAGAACATTCCCTCATCTTCTTCCCATGGCCTCTGTCCTGGCTCAGGCCCCAGCATCCACCCTCTCTAGCACTTAAAAGCCTCCCAAGGGCTCTCCTTGCCTTTAGTCTCCTCTCTTCCCCAGCAAGGAAACTTCCACATTGCTGCCAGAATTATTTTATAAAAACACATTGTACCTCTTAAAAGCTTGCAAGTGATCATCCAGGGTACAACAATTGGTCTCCATTTGCCTGGAGCAACAGAGGAAGAAGGAAAGTCAGAAAAGGAGGAAGAAATGGAATGTGTGGCTAATTGCTGCCATGAACAACTCCCTCCTTTGTGATGAGACCAGAAGAACAGGATGGTGCCCAGCTGCCATTACTGAATGTTTTGACCAAAGATTCTATAGAAGAATCCTGATCAAAAGGGAGAAAATGCAGAAGAGACTTTCAAATTCTCATGGAATCCAGAATTTCTGGAGTCATAGAGGCCAGATGAACCCCTGAAATTATTGCCATGAGATAATCTTTAAACCTTAAACCAAAAATATCCCCTGATGTCTTCTTAAAACCAAACAATAGTTTAGCTTAAACTAGTAAAGAATGTCTGCCTTGAGTACTGTGTTCTTTTAAAAACTATCTATATGGAATCAAATTGACAACAGCAACTTGAAAGATTATTTAAAAGCCTTAGGGGGCAGTAAATTTATGTTAATGGAAGAGGAACAATTTGGAAAAGAAGGGTGAGAATGATTGTACAACTTGAAGAAAGTACTCAATGTCACTGAATTATACATGGAGAAATTGTTGAATTAGTGTATGTTCTGCTATGTATATTCTCAATAACAAGAACAAAATAAAATCAATTATATTAAAAAAACACTAAACAAATAATTTCTTTTATAAGGATCTGAACAAATGTGGTTCCTATGAGGTAGAGGTTAAAGATGCCCCAAATGTCCAGCTTTTCCAAGCTGCTGTACCACCCCATCATCTCTAACACCAACTATTCATTATTTAATAGTCATTGAAGATCCCAGACTTGTTCATTTGAATGTTTTTGCCCCGTAAGTATGCAAATAACCCCAAAGATTTATGCCGTGTTGGACAATTTTTTTTTTTTTTTTGGTAAACTGAGGATAGATAGATAGATGACAGACAGACAGACAGATCCCTAATTTCTCAAATGCTATCTTGTTGTTGTTGTTAGGTGCTATTGAGTCGGTTCCGACTCATAGCGACCTTATGTACCACAGAACGAAACACCGCCCAGTCCTGCGCCATCCACACAATCATTGTTATGTTTGAGCCCATGGCTGCCTGGGGGGGCTCATCTTCCGGCACTATATCAGACAACGTTCCGCTGGTATTCATAAGGTTTTCACTGGCTAATTCTTTTCAGAAGTAGACTGCCGGGTCCTTCTTCTTAGTCTGTCTTAGTCTGAAATAGTCACTGAAACCTGTTCACCATGGGTGACCCTGCTGGTATCTGAATACTAGTGGCATAGTTTCCAGCATCACAGTCACAGGCAAGCCCCCACAGTACGACCAAATGCTCTCTGGGTTCCTCACAATTTTATGAATTAAATAAAATCTTTTACACATTTTCATTTTCTATTTGTCTGAGAGTCATGATTTTACATTTGGTAAATTAGACTTTAACACCGTCTTATCTTTAAGGAGAGAGAAGATTGTAAAGGGCCTAGCAGGACAAGTACACAATAAATATTCACCTCTTTCCTGCCCCTTTGCCCCTGCTAACAGCACCTGAAATGCATCATTTAGCCCTATTTCTACATCCTCCAATCCTCCCCATTATTTGGGGCCCAGCTGAAATACTATCCCCCTCCAGGAAGGCATAATTGATTCCCCCCTAAATGTAAATCCTCTGCCTACATAGTCTCATTATAGTTCACTAGCATTTTTGGTAGGGGCTGAAGTCACTTTCTCTCCCATGATGTCCCATTGATATTTTTACCTGCCCTATTAGACTTTAGATTTTAGATGAGGGTGGGGACTACATTTTATGGCATTCTGCCTAGTGTCAATGGCTAAATAACATAAGTACGTGCAGGAAGTCAAGCAACTAGACTTGAAACCAATCCTGTAGTGCAAGAAAGTCTTCTGGCTTGTAAAAGATAAAATGAATCACAAAAAAAAAGAAAGAAAACATTGCCACTGAGTTGACTCTAACTCATGGCAACCCTTTAGGACATTGCAGAATGGCCTGATAGGGTTTCCAAGGCTGTAATCTTTATGGAAGCAGACAGTTACATCTTCCTCCAGCTTCCTTCCATGGAGCGGCTGGTGGAATCGAACCACCAACCTTTCAGTTAGCAGCTGAGCGCTTACCTCAAAATAACTTAATGTCTGTGACAATACAATGAGAAATGTTCTACCAGGTCCATTAAGATGACATGCAGGTTGATAATTATTTTTACAGTCTCAGGATTCTAAAACTAAATGTTTCACAGCTTCTGTTATTTGGCAATGCTAAATGAATGTTGTCAAAAGATTAAATACAAATTGGTTATAAATCTTCATTTAACTACATTGTGTAGGGAAGGCTACATTACAACATCACGTTTGTGTCGGCATTAAGAAAATGAGGGGTCTTATTTTAATAGTATTAAGACTATTGGAAATACTGTTTATTCTCCATAATAGACTTTGGATTTGAGGATGATGCCTTTGATGGTCTTCACTAACACATGAGCAAGTTTAAAAAAATTAATGGCACTGAGCTAATCCTTCTGCCCTCAAACAGGTAGAATGGCCTTTTCTCAACAGGGGAGGTCACCATGTGCAGCTTAGCCTGTTAACTGCCTGAAAGACTATAGTCACCTTTCTCAAACGAAGTGACTTCAGAAAAGTAGCATTTTTAAGCCCACTTTGGCTGACTTTTTCAGGCAATGGCCAGTGCTCTGATCACCTAGCGGAAGCATCTGGTGCCTTTGATGTTCTGATCGCCCACAGGTGGTCTCTCTGCTGGCCATAATCACACGTTAACTTTGAAGTCACAACACTACACATCTTGAAAGCTGGATAAATATCATTTCACTTAGAAATCGAGCTCGTCACCAATGAAGGATGAAACCAAGTAGCATTACGATAATTTTAAGAGTCAGCAAAAAATTTACTTAAAAATGAAACCCTTCTTTTGGTTAGGTATTTTGACTTTGAGAAGATCACATCTTTGAGCGAAACCAGGGCTTTGGAAGAAATCAATGCTTCAACAATTACAAAAGAAAACATATTAGTTTAAATTTGAATTGCCATAGTACATCACGACAAGGGAATTATACCCAGGAGAAGCCTATAAACAGCGTCGATTCTGCTTTAACACTTAACTGATATTGCAAAAAGTAAAAATTTCAGTACATATACACACAGAGTACCCATGTATAAGTTACACATATAACTAATACATGCAGCTCTACCTGCCCCGCCCCCTTAGCTTTATTATAGCACTGCTTCATTTTTCATTAACAGGCAGTAACGTATATAAAGGAGTCCCTGGATGGCGCAAACGGTTAAGCACTGGACTGCTAGCTAAAAGGCTGGTTGTTCCAATCCACGCAGAGGCACTTCAGAAGATAGGCCTGACGATCTGCTTCCGAAAGGTCACAGCCTTGAAAACCCTATGGAGCACAGTTCTACTCTGCACACACTGGGTCACCATGAGTCAGAATGGACTGGCGGCAACTGGCAAAAACCGCAGCTCTTGGAAGTAGATTATATGTGTATATATATATATACAGGAGCCTTGGTGGGGCAGTGGTTAAGAGCTCAAGCTGCTAACCATAAGGCCGGGAGTTCGAATTCACCAGACGTTCCTTGGAAACCCTAGGGGGCAGTTCTGCTCTGCCCCGTAGAGTCGCTACAAGTCAGAATCAACTCAACTGCAATGGGTTTGGTATATAACCAACATACATACATACACACACACACACACACACACACACACACACACACACACACACTTTTCTTTAGACTCTTAAAGGAGAAAGGACAAGGATGTGGCAGAAGGAAAATAAAAAAAATGAAAGAACAGAAAGATTCCTCTGAGGCAGAAAAGGTAGTCTAGAGGAAGTTATGGAGAAAACTAAAGAGAAAGAGAACTGCTTAGAAAAAGCACACACCAAATAGCCAGAGAACCATGGTAAATAAAGATGAACACTGAGAGAGAATATGCAGCTTCACAGAAGAGCATTCACCATTCTTGTGAGCTCTGGACACGGTGCTATGAAACCCCCAGGCTGTCCTGTCATTGCTCTAACATACGTGGGGCTGTTACCTGCTGACACGGTCTCCAGGTGATGCAGACACCAAGGGCCTGACCCCAGCTCCCCTTCCATCTCTTCTCTTCTCTCCAAGGCTTCCTCTCCCTCTTTCTAGTACCTCAGTCTGTGTGTATTTCTGGGATGGGGTCAAGGAGAGGAGGAAGGGTGTGAGATCTGCTCTCCAAATTAACAAAAACAAAACCAAAAAGACTATTAGAATATACATGGAGACGAGGAATATTTAAATTTCCACCCAGAAGAGTAACAACTTTGAGCCCCAGAAAGAAATACCGTCCTTGTATGAAAATGTCCACTAAGAAAGTAGACCAGCCAGGAACTCGGGCAGCAATTCACACCGCCCTGTGAAATTCAGGCAGAATTGCTCTGAGAAAGAATAGGGTGATTTCATCACAATTGAAATGGAAACATCACTCAAGGTCCATGCTTCTCCAGGACTACTTCAATCCCTTCTCCTCAGAGACACCCAATTTAAACACCATGGTATTCCGCCCTGAGTATGACAGGTCAGATTTTTAGAGGTGCTGGCCCACATCTCTAGACCAGGGCCAGTGGTCTATAAACTTCATAGTCTCTGAAGCCCTTCCCCCTGCGACGGGGGAGTTCACCGAATGCGGAGAACCCCCTCACTTCCTGCAGGAGCCCCTGAAAGGCCACTCTCAGCAGGTGGGGGTTGGTGTTCCTGGGTGGTATAAACATTTAACATGCTCAGCTGCTAACCTAAAGGTTGGAGGTTTGAGTCTACCCAGAGGAGCCTTGGAAGAAAGGTCTGGTGCTCTACTTCTGAAAAATAAGCCACTGAAAATTCTGTGGAGCACAGTTCTCCTCTGACACACATGGGGTTGCCATGAGTCAGAGTCGACTTGACAGAACGGGTTTTGGTTGAGGTGGGATGGGTGATGTGGAACCCAGCACCAAGGAGCCTGGGAGGCAGTGCACCCCCTCCCACTGAGGGTGGAGGGCTGCTGGGTGTGACTTCTCCTCCTGCTGAAGGGGGCTGCACAGCATTGGAGGCGCTGCTCTCAGGAAGCTGTTATGACTCGCTTTTAGATTTTGGAGGCCCTGTTCTGTTCTGAACGAGGTCCAGGGCATGTCATAGACAGACACTGAGGGGTGTAGCAGGGTCTAGAGCCATGGAGGAAGGGAGTCGGGGGGCTGAAAACCACAGCAGGGGCAGGGGACAGGATGAGCCTGTTCGAAAGCCCCCTCAGAGTCCACATCTCAGGGGTTGGGGCCTGGAAATTATGTATTTAATCAGCCTGTTAGTTTTCCTTTTTGAAGCTCCCCAGGTAGTTCAGATGCATATCAAGGCGTGGAAACCGTTCATAAAAAGATGCACCAGTTTCAGATGTCAGTGGGTGGAGAGAACATCGGCCTTCTAGAGTAGAAAGCTACCAGCCATCTGTCGGTTTGTGGTACTGTGGTGGCTTCCATGTTGCTGTGGTGTGGGAAGCTGTGCCACCAGTATTTCAAATGCTAGCAGGGTCACCCAGGGACAATAGGTTTCAGCAGAGCTTCCAGGCTAAGACAGACTAGGAAGAAAGGCCTGGTGATCTACTTCTGAAAATTAGCCCATGAAATCCCTATGGATTACACTAAAACACTGTCCATTATCCTCCTGGAAGACGAGCTCCCTAGGTTTGAAGGCACTCAAAGTATACAGTGGCCACAACAATCGGCTCAAGCATACCAATGACAGTGAAGACGGTACAGGGCTGGGCAACGTTTTGTTCTATTGTACATGGGGTCACTTTGAGTTGAAGCTGACGCAATGGTAACCACAGAGCGTGGGTTCCCACTGGGACAATGCTGGGACCCTAACAAAGAAGCCCCCTGCTGGCGACCGGGCACAGTGGGTAGGTTCTAGTATGCCGGGGTCTCCTCTCTTGCTCCCCCATAGCAGTGAATTCAAGAGTATCCATCTTCTCTCACCTCCTATCTGTCACTCTGCTGCCAACCACATGCCTCCTGTCAGACAGTTCTGTTTAAAAAGCAGCGAAGGCTCAGCCTATCTTCAAGAAACTTTCCCACAAAATCTATGAGAACCTCACGGACCCAGATATCTGTAAAATAAGTCTTTATCAAGCAACTGCATAGGCAACCACCTGACTGTTTAGTAAAAATAATAAAAACTGATGAGCCACTTGGTCTTTAGCTCTTCAGCTTTCCTCCACTGTTCATTACTGGTTTTATTTCATTTCTGAATTGAGCTGCGTATCACAAAACCTAGCCAGATGGGTCTCTGTGGGGATGCTGGTCTTGCTTCTGCCAGGAGTGGTTTCTATTCAGAATGAACAGAAAAAGGCAACAGTAGGTACAAAACGCATTTGAGTTTTAAATGAAGACAAACAAAAACATGCGACATCATTCATCTGTGTTCAGTGACATGGAGAAAAAAGCATATTTGAAAAATATAAGGTCTATTTTAGTCCGTCTCTCAAATGGAGACCAGCAATTAGAGCACTTCTATGTAGATTCATTAGTGTCTCCTTGATTTGACTCTTTGGTGAGTAAGTAAATATATTTTAAAGATTAAATGATACCTGTATTGGGTGCATGATATGAAAACTGCAATAAATGTCACCGATCTGTAAGGAATGCATATAACTGTGCTCACTGTTTTACAACAGTTTTCGTCTCCACATGAAAATTAATTATAAATGTCTTGTCTTCTAAGTTCAATGACTTTGAGTCTTTGGCTCAAAACTAGGTAACAGAACTATGAGAGTAGAATATCTGTATGTTCTTTACTATATATTAATAATTTTTGATGACTACCTCCACAGCCATCAGCTGAACTCTTGAACGCTCCCTATTGTGCTTGCTTGATGTTAGATCCTTTTCAAGAGACCTGTGATGGTTAGTTTTGTGTGTCAACTTGAGTAGGCTACGATTCCCAGTGGTTTGACCTAAAACTAGCCTAATCAATGTTATGAAGTAGGTACAGGTGATTAAATCAGTTGGCCTCAAGTACAGCAGATACCTTCCATAATGTAATTTATTATAATGTAATTACTTTACATCCAATGAAATGTAATACAATGTAACGTAATCACTTTCCATAATGTAATCTAAGGTTATATAATCAATTGATCAGTTGAAGGGGAAGTTTCCCGGGATATGTTCTGTCCCCAGACTATACATAGAAGTTTTGTCAGAACTCTTTCTCACTCTTCACTCTGCACTCTTCCCATTGCCTGACCCATGAATCTTAGGACGCAAGTCTGCAGGCATCTCCAGTACTCGCCCCCTGCCCCATCCTCTACACACACAATCACCGGAGCCAGAAGGAATCTCCAGACTGTTGCCTGACCAAAGGATTTTGGACTTGTCAGTCCCTCCACAATCACATAAGCCAATTAATTTCTTGAAGTAAATCTCTCTCTCTCCATATATATATATATATATATACATATATATAGTTATCTAATTATATTTATTGTTGTTGTGTGACCTCAAGACAATTTCAATTCACAGCAACCCTATAAGACAGAGTAGAACTGTCCCATACATTTTCCTAGGCTTTACGGGAGCAGATCTTCAGGTCTTTCTGCCACAGAGCAGCAGGTGGGTTCAGACCTCCGACTTTACGATTTACAGCCAAGCGCTTCATCATTGCTCCACCAGAGCAGCTTTCTCTTTCTCTCTCTCTCTCTCTGTATATATACATATATAAATATACACACTTACACACATACGTATATACATACATACATAATACATACGTACATACATATATATATGTGTTGTTGTTAGGTGCCATCCGGTCATTTCTGACTCAGAGCAACCTTACATACAACAGAACAAAACACCGCCCAGTCCTGTGCCATCCTCACAATCTCTGTTATGCTTAAGCCTACTGTTGCAGCCACTGTGTCAATCCATCTAGTCGAGGTACTTGCTCTTTTTCACTGACTCTCTACCAAGCATGATGTCTGTCTTAGTTTTCTAGGGCTACTTTAACAGAAATACCACAAGTGGATGGCTTTAACAAAGAGAAATTTATTTTCTCACAATCTAGTAGGCTACAAGTTCAAATTCAGGGTGACAGCTCCTGGGGAAGGCTTTCTCTCTCTGTAGGCTCTGGAAGAAGGTCCTTCTCATCAACCTTCCCCTGACCTGGGAGATTCTGCACAGGGACCCCAGTCAAAAGGACATGCTCTGCTCCCGACACTGCTTTCTTGGTGGTATTATGTCCCCAACTCTCTGCTTGCTTCCCTTTCCTTTTATCTCTTGTAAAATAAAAGGTGGTACACGCGACACCCCAAGGAAACTCCCTTTACATTGTATCAGGGATGTGACCTTAGTAAGGATGTTACAATCCCACTCTAATCCTCTTTAACATAAAATTACAATCACAAAATGGAGGACAACCACACAATACTGGGAATCATGGCCCAGCCAAATTGATACACACATTTTTGGGGGGACGTAATTCAATCCATGACAATGTCCTTCTCCAGGGACTGGTTCCTCCCAATCACATGTCCAAAAGACCCAAGACAAAATCTTGCCATCCTTGCTTCTAAGAAGCATTCTGGCTGTACTTCTTCCAAAACAGATTTGTTCATTCTGCTGGCAGCACATGGTATATTCAGTATTCTTCCTCAACCTCATAACTCAAATGCATCAATTCCTCTTGGATCTTCCTTATTCATTGTGCTGTCCCCACTTGCATATGAGGCTATTGAAAACACCACGGCTTGGGTCAGGCACACTTTAGTCCTCAAAGTGACATCTTTGCTTTTTAACAATTTAAACAGGTCATTTGCAGCAAATTTGCCCAATGCAATACTTCATTTGATTTCTTGTCTGCGACTTGCATGGACGTTGATTGTGGATCCAGGTAAAATGATCATTGACAACTTCAATATTTTTGCAGTTTGTCATGATGTTGCTCATTGATCCAGTTGTGAGGATTTTTATTTTCTTTATGTTGAGGTGTGATCCATACTGAAGGCACATGTCATTATAATACTTTACTTTGTCTTCTTGAGCCGCCCTTTGAAATCTTCTGTCCAGTTCTTTTACTTCTTCATTTCTTCCTTTCACTTTAGCTGCTCTACTATCACGAGCAAGTTTCAGAGTCTCTTCTGACATCTATTTTGGTCTGTTCTTTCTTTCCTGTCTTTTAAATGGCCTTTTGCTTTCTTCATATATGATGTCCTTGATGCCATTCCACAGCTCGTCTGGTCTTCAGTCATTAGTATTCAATGCATCAAATCGATTCTTGAGATGGTCTCTAAATTCAGGTGGAATATACTCAAGGTCATACTTTGACTCTCGTGGACTTGTTTTAATTTTCTTCAGCTTCAACTTGAACTTGCATATGAGCATTTGATGGTCTGTTCCGCAGTCAGTCCCCCTGGCCTTTTTCTGATTGATGATATTGAGCTTCTCCATCGTCCTTTTCCACAGATGTAGTCGATTTAATTCCAGTGTATTCTATCTGGCGATATCCATGTGTAGTCATTGTTTATGTTGTTGAAAAAAGATAATTCCAATAAATAAGTCATCGGTCCTGCAAAATTCTATCAGAAGATCTTTGGCATCATTCCTACCACCAAGGCCATATTTTCCAACTACTGATCCTTCTTCTTTGTTTCCAACTTTCGTATTTCAATCACTAGTAATTATCAATGCATTTTGATTGCATGTTTGATCCATTTCAGACTGCTGGAGTTGGTAAAAATCTTCAATGTCTTCTTCTTTGGCATTAGTGGTTGGTGTGTAACTTTGAATAATAGTCTTACTAACTCGTCTTCCTTGTAGTGGTGTGGATATTATCCTATCACTGACAGCGTTATATTTTTGCATGGAGCTTAAAATGTTCTTTTTGAAAATGAATGGGACACCGTTCCTCTTCAATTTTCATTCCTGGCATAGTAGGCCATACGATTGTCCAATTCAAAATGGCCAATTCCAGTCCATTTCAGCTCACTGATGCCTACGATATCGATCTTCAAGCACTCCATTTCCTTTTTGACAACTCAAATTTTTATTGATTTATACTTCATACATTCTACATTCTGATTATTAATGGATGTTTGCAGCTGTTTCTTCTCATTTTGAGCCATGCCACATCAGCAAATGAAGGTCTTGAAAGCTTTACTCCATCCAAGTCATTAAGGTTGACTCCCTCTGAGGAGGCAGCTCTTCCCCAGTTGTATTCTGAGTGCCTTCCAACCTGAAGAGCTCATCTTCCAGCACTATATCAGACAGTGTTCTGCTGCTATCCATAAGGTTTTCACTGGCCAAGTTTTCTCAGAAGTAACTCTCTGAGTCCTTCCTAGTTTGTCTTCATGTGAAAGCTCTGCTGAAACCTGTCCACCATGGGAGACCATACGGGTATTTGAAATACCGGTGGCATAGCTTCCAGTATCACAGCAACACATAAACCATCACAGTACAACAAACTCACAGACAAGTGGTGGAATAAAATAACTAATTACTGACATATACTTGCATATCTATTTAGTGAGAATAGTCAGGGAGATTCCAGCTGGGCTAGATTCCATGCACAAAAAAACTCTCATAAAGGTAAGACCAGTTGCTACCCAGTCAATTCTGACTCATGGGAATCCCATGTGTTTCACAGTAGAACTTCTCCATAGGGTTTTCATGCTGTTACCTTTCAGAAGCAGATCGCCAGGTCTTTCTTCTGAGGTACCTCTGGATGGGTTCCAACGACCAACCTTTTTGTAAAAGGTCAAGGTACAAGTACAAGGTAGAGGTCATCAACCAAAGAAAAGTCCCAATGATTCTAGAATGGGCCACTCTCAGCAAAGACAAGAGGAAGAGCTAAAAATCCTTAAAGAAAATAATCATAGAAGCAACACTTACCAAATACCTGAAACATGTCATAGGTATATACCTCAGTAGGTATTTCTAGTGAAAAATCAGGAATCGGGCATACACAGATTACAAAAAAAACTACAACAATTACTATTGAGTCAATTCTGACTGATGGTGATCCCATGTGTGTCAGAGAAGAACTGTGCTCCATATGGGTTTCAGTGGCTGATATTTTGGAAGTAGCTAGCCAGGCCTTTCTTCAGAGGTGATTCTGGGTGGACATGTACCTCCAAGTTTTTGATTAATCATTTACACCAACTAGGGACTCCACATCCAGATTAAGTACTCAA